AAGTAGAGAAAGCAAACAAAGTTTTATGTACACAAATTACAATCATCCTATCGTTTCGATTTTTCACTTTTATACGATATGTTCAATAATTTATTCGTATCATTCTTTTTTTTTTTTTTTGATAAAATTTTCCACAGTTTAAGAAAGTAAAAATTGCACATAAAAATACAAAAAGAAGAAGGAAAATGAAAAGATATTATAATTTTAGGGAATTTAAAAAGGAATAAAAAAAAAAAAAACTTTAAAATTCCAATCTTTTGTATAAAACGGTACAATAAAATGAACTGTTGAAAATATTATAATTTGTGGGAAAAAAAAAGAAAAGCATTAAGAATAATGTTTTATTTGATAGATATATCTAATAAAATTTCTGAGATTTTATTATCAACAAATGAACTGTTTTAAAAAATAAAAAAAATAAAAGGAAGTTTGATTTTTGCTAAGTTTTATTATTTGTAACAATCTTTCGCCTTAAGTTGTATTATCTTTTCAAGTAAGTGAAATGAAAGTAGATAGTTTTTAAGTCCAAAATATCCATATATGATGAAGTAGATAATTTTCAAGTCTATCATTAGCCATTTATAAATACACTGGAGAAATTGTGCCGGAAGGAACCTGAAGTGATGATCAAAGAATGTTGTCAGTTAGGTTGTAGATATTTTGGAATGCAAAATGTATTAATTCTCGCTTAGAATTGAAATCTTAAATTTAAAAAAAATGAAATCCCGTTTTACTCAATGATTATTTTAGAGTTGTGCCATTAGTGAACACAACAAATCAACTGTTTTACATGTTTTTATAGGAAAACTAGTGAAACAAAAAAGAAAAAGATAGATTTAGTACCGTATAAAATCCTTGAAGTTTTAAGTCTACCTCTAGGATCTGATCAATTAGGCTCCAAAACTCTTGCTAAAATATTTGACAGACTCTTATAGGATCAAATTTTGTCTTATATGGAAAATATTTCATCGATTTACTCATATCATCGATAAAAATTAAGATAGATAATGTGTTAAATAAATGCAGAATAAATTACGGAAATTTTTACTGGGATTAAAAACAAAACAGAACTGCATGAAACATTTTGCATGAAACGTTCAACAACTTGTTAACTAATTATAGCATTGAAGTTCAATGGCAATTTTGATCTTTATCCCAAAACCTGAAATTATAAAAAGGAAAACCGGATTTTAGGACAATGATAAAATATTGAAAAAAATTTCTACCATTTACCCGAGAATACACATATACAACTCAAACTTTCTCCTCAAATCATTCACATGCGTTTACATGCTTGCGCTAAAAGGAAAATGTTTGCACTTACAATTCAAGTCAGAAATTAAAGAATAGCAAGAGACGATAAAATAATGTATGTTAAGCAACAAATACAGAAACACATACACACAGATAATTAATGAATTGCTGAAAACCCGTATAAAATTTGGACACACTGAAATTTACCTAAAACACTAAAATCTACCTAGAACTAGAGATATGCGAAAACTCCTTGAAATGATTGGAAAAGTATTCAGAGTAGAAGTACTTCTTCAGCTCTGATGCATTTTCTATCATTACCGTTCTGCATGAATGAAAAAAACCACTGCCATTTCTGAAATCAGTAATATTCGATAAAGCATTTTGTAGCTATCATATTTATTTTAAAGTAGAAAGGTATTAGGAGAATGAAATATTACCAGAAACAAAATTTTACTAAATTTATCGCTCAAGGAATGATATATCCTACATAATTAATTATTGTAAGCACTGTATTTAGACACCATTTATATGAAGTAAAATTAAAACTTCAACCTCAACATCTACTTCAACTTAACTGCTAAACTGTAAGATAATATTAAGACATAGTTGAAGCTGACGTTTAACGTCGAAATTTCACAATATAAAACGAGCATTAAGATCATAAGTTCATCATTATCACCAACTTTTTGCTTTCATCTAGCACTTAAAAGAATTAATATATTATGGGAATAAGCCTGAGCAAGAAAAATAGAAAAATTACAAATCTACTAGAAAGAGAAGCACCTTACATTCAGCCTCAGTGCTTCCCTTAACACTTATATTAACACGTCTTTATCTTGTTCGAGTTATGTCTACAACGATGTTGGTATAGTGAATAATGACGAATCAAGCGGAGTGTTGTGACTGGAATCAAAATCTACGAGATACTTCGAGCATAAACAATATATAAGTGTGTCCCGATTTTGTTTGGTTAAATTTTCGACATTATCCATTGTTAGCGTTGTTGGACAATCCTTAGCCATCAATATTCGTTCCAGCGGAGTTGCTGCTAACCAAACATCCACTGCTTTTTCCGCATCATCATCATTTATCAGATTGCGATGTCGTGAACGAAGAAGTGATTTCAACAAATTGTTAGCACGATTTGTAGCAAGACGTTCTTCGTCTGTTCCCTCTGCTGTTATGATCATTTCATCTTGGGTGCGCCTGATTAACGTCACAGGCCCATGATATGATGCCAACTGGAATAATGATAATAACAAGGATGAAAATCTGAGTTGAAATTGAATATAAAAATTCAATTTTAAGCAAGAAATTAAATCTTACAATTCTGAAAATAACATTCTTTCTGAAAATTCATGCAGAGTCATTATTATTCAGAATGAATGAAACGAAGACTAATTGACTTGATTAATTTCGCTATGGACCTTTTTTAACTGAAATCAGGTATCCAAAAATCTATTGCATCTCAATTCCCAGGATTATTTATTTATGTCAATTTTACTGGTAGCCATTAAATTTCTCCAAGAATCAGTTTATGAGATTTCTTATGTCTGATTTTCACATTAAAATATAACACCACCCAACAACTGGTGTACTATTTCATTTCATATTAAACAGAGCTATGACAACCTATGATAAGTGGTATAACTCCCGTTATATTTACGTCTATATACGAATGGATATATGAAAGTTACACTTCCGGTTTTCATCGGAAATAAAATATAAAACCTGCAAAGCGACTGGCATATCAAAGTATGTTCGAACGATAAATTCAACTAACGGGGCCCATGATCTCGGCATTTTCGCCGCAGCAAGAGGCAAGAGATCATCAAATGTTGCATCGAGTATCAAAGCCTGAAAATAAAAATATGAAATAATAAAAATTGAAATCTATTACCTTAATTTCAAGTGCCTCGGTGTTACACACACTTTCTTCTCACAATCTCTCATATGCTCACAATCTCTTTCTTTAATATCTAGGGCGTTTCAATGTCAGACAATCCCAATTAATACTAAGTTCATATATAATGCTGGAAAACTTTGCAGATGAAAAATAAATAGCAACGTATATATAATAATCCATTAGCAAAACATTTCGGGAATTGAACAAATCTTTAGTAACGTCTCCGAAATTGATTTCCAAGATAGAAATCTATCAAATTTAGATGGAACCAAACGCTACTTTGATATTTTGATAGTTGGCGGCAGCCCATGTTGCTGGAAACCCACCGATTGACCATGCATAAAGAACAATTTGATCTTCCACGAAACCTAATTTATGTATTGCATATTGAATAACAGCATCAATTGATGCAGCCGTTTGTTTTGGTGTTGGCATACCGCTACTTTCACCAAACCCTGAAGCTTTTTCAATTGCTTCAGACTAACTACAGTAAAATTCGGTCCAGAGATATTATCACTATTCTCAATGTATAGATTGGGTTCTGTGGAAATGTTCCCCACCGTTTGATACATTTTCATTTCAAATTTTAGTATGCTTCGTGTAAGCAAAATAAAAAAACTTTATTAAACATTGTAAAATTCAAGATCCATTCAATGGGGCAAATGAGACAAGCAAGCATTACGCGCCTTATTCGGTTTCTTTTTCTTTTTTTTGCATATATACGTTTACGTGATGTAAATAATGATAAAGCAATATCAATTATTACAATAAATTATTTGTGACTGCTGACTTTTTAAAGAGAATTTATAAATAAAAATCTGAAACTAAAAAAGTACCAACCAGGCTGATTCCATCCAAGGACAGAATAGTTCAGCATAAGAGGCATTAGCATAATACCAGTTTCGTAAAATCCAGCATTTCCCTCACATGTTATAACCAGAATATCACCATTTCCTCCCTGTTCTCGACGATCAACAAACATAGTATCCACTCGGTTATCTTCTCTTGTCATTAAAACACCGCGCATAGCACCCTTAACAATGCAAATCTTGAATTAGCAGAAGTACGACCAGATAAACTGAAGAAATCTTCAACAAGTATTGGAAACTCCAACTGACTGAATAGTGAAGGACAGTAATGTTGGAATACTATGATGTCATCAAAAAGAATTGTCAACTTGTATCAATCAAAAAATTATTTGAAATCGAACCCTTTCCATCACAAGTTTCCGTCGATTCTCGATCAGAAATGATTGGATCAATTTGTTCAATAATGCTGCTGAACCAGGATAAACAAGCACACGTGCAAAAGTGTAAGCAATATTGTAAGATAGGCAATCTCGTAACGTTGTGTAGAAAATATTTCCAGTAGATTTAAACTTCCTTGGTGTCTCGAAATATTTTCGAGACTCTCGATAAGCTCGAAAGTCAATTGGTGCCGCAAATAACTGAAATTTGAAATCATATTGCAATTTGAAACCAATGATCTTTTATATCCAATAGTTTGTGTATTTAAAACAGCTACAAAAGTTGAATGGTACAAAAGTTCACGTGAAGCAAAAAAAAGAAAAAAAAATTAGGATTGCAGATCGACATGTGAAAAAGAATAATGAATTGGTAGATACCTCATAATCATATCCTAATAATAGTGCTCTCGCATTCTGATCATGTAAGTGGGCTTCAAACAACGTATCAGCAAATCGGCGATATTCTGGATTAAATATCCTTCCAGCAGTTCTCATGCTAATCGCTATTACATAATAAGTCACCGTAAATTTTGCTAACATCATTAAATTTGTTCCATTCAACAACGAACGATTGTAAGCAATCTGAAAGTTGAAAGAATTCATAACTTTCATGGCTTTGATAACTTTTATTTTCTTTTTTAAAAGCTAATTATCAGCATTAAACATTTCATCCTTGGTTCTCAAAAATACGGCAACAGTTACCATAAGGAATTGAAATTTACAGTAGAATAATGTTCGATTATTGACTCATTTTTAGTGGATGTCTTTAACATGGAACAAATATGTTAAGTCAGTTAAATTAATGGGCTCACTATGAATGAGAAAAAAAAACAAGGAAACAAAATATCCTTGCTAGAAATAAGCATAATTTGAATGCTTACTTCCAATTCCATGAGATATGAATTAAGTATTATCTTGAACTAAGTACCGAAAAATTATCGTGAATGTTTTTTTCTTGAGAATTCTTGACAAAAATAACTTTCGAAAAGACTATCAAAGCATAACAATTTTTGATACTTGGGGAAGCTTTGATACCAAAACTATTTCTTCAGTCTTGCTTCTTTGAAGGTTTTTAAATTTTAGATCATTTTGAAATTAATCTTCTAAATCCGACAACAACGTACCAAAAGAAGAAATGGTGAAACCACTGAGCACACTGTACGACATCCATTCATAACTGTTAGCATCGTTTCACTTACATATTCCAGTGAATTACTCGGGAACATTGTATCATGACGACGAATGTATGCATAAACTTTTGGACCTCTTATCAAGCTTAACAACATTTCAGCCGGTGTCATCCTCAAATTAATTACTAAATTTTAATGTTTTAAGTAGTTGCCTAGAAGAAACACCCAGAAATCAAATAATTACATAACAGCCATCTTTCCAGTAATCTTCGAATGACACACAGTGCAACAGCTACTATGTCGGACATCGAAACAAGCAATATCTGGAAATTTGTTTTCAAAGAAGTTCTTCAGTATGAACGGAAACGCTGTATGAATTGAACTCAGTAATAAATCTTACTAAAATACAAATTAGTGAAAAACCCTATATGCAGTTTTTCATATTTAAATTTCGAAATTGTATCATACGAGTGTGAACGTGCAATAATTATGTCAGTGAATGTATATAGTACATATTTATTTTTACAAATAACAAAAGGCCAAATAATCATCAGGTATCTTCGTTTCTTCGTTTTACAGAATTCCCTGAGGCATTTTTTATTGATGAGCTCGGATCATCAGTTTCTTCCACTTCCGCTTTTCTTACACTTTGCTTTTCTGGTTTGTCTTTCTGCGCTTCAGAACTTCCGTTAGGCTGCACTACTTTGCTGTTCTCCTCATCCGTAATCTGGTTCGATCTCTCAACGACGTTTTCCACCGTTGAGCTCGATTCCGAACCATCTTCATCGGTTTCATTTTCCACATCTTTCTCTCCATTCTTTTTCCTCAAACTCTTCATTTTTTCTTTATAACGCTGCCTAAAATGAAAATAATGCAAGAAATTCTAACTGATCAAGTTTGTTTTCAAGGCGTTTGGAAATTTTTACTGATAAAATCTTAGTCGGACAATATGCATTGTAAAAATACAACAAAAGTTATAAAATATCGAATTACTTATATGATATATGATTCAAATGAACTAAGAAAAAAACACAACGTCCAACAGCTGAAAACTGACCGATATAATAAGCGATAAGTTAACTAACCGTAAAGGGAAATGAAAAGATTTGATTTGATTAATATTATTTGTCTCCTTCTGGCAAAATATAAAATCAGGAAGCAATAAATAAAACAGTTCTAATGAACCAAAAAAAAAAATTGCTTTTACCTTTTCAACCGCTTTTTAGCTGTTTTCCTTTCCTCCTCTTCTGCTCGTCTTCTTTTTTCAGCCAAAAATTTCTCATCCAGCTCCTCTTGTAAGGCTTTATTATGCATATAATCCAACCTGTTTAATCCAGTGTATTTTAATAAAGTGTATTCTAGTCATGCCGCAAAAGATTTCTACCTTGTGGACGAAAAAAATAGATAAAATTTTGAAAAAAGCCTATCTAATGTCGCCAATTAATTTTAATTTTCCATTAAATCTAGGAAAAATAGAATACCGATCCATTTCCCGCTTTCGATTATTCCGGAAAATGTGAAATTCCGCACTCCCGGCTGCAGCTGATGAACCAACAACATTACGGACGAAATCTGGCGGCGGCCGCGGCTTTCGACCATCTCGTCGTTGTGGAATAGACACTGGTTTTTCCTGTAATTCCTCATTATTCCAGCATTCGTGCACCATATACATTAAAGGTACTGATCAAAAGATGAAAAACAAACTAAATGATCGGAGGAAGGGAGAAACAAGGAATGAACTGAGGAAGAAAACAAAAATAACGCAATCAGATTAAAGCAAAAAACTGAAATCGAATAAACATACAATATTTTTCTGCAATCGTTCCAACCGCATCCGTATCAAATCATAAGCAGTTCGAGCTTTCTGCTCTTCTTCCTGCTCTTTATCTTCATGCGGCATCTGAAATATGATACGAAAATACTAATATGACAACTTCGCACGTTTATCGTCTAAAACGCTCGAACCAATAGCTAAAATATGTTTTACGAATGCCACAGGGCAATTTCTATTTTCATATGACTTTTATAACTTTTACGCATATCATGAAAGAAAAATTTCATTATCATACGTATAACTTTTACCTAAGAATGCAAACACTTTCATTTCCTCTAACAAATTTCAACCCATGCTTCAGGAAATAATTTTTACTTCATTCCGAATGACTTTTATGTAAGCTTTTCACATATACTTCGGCAAATAGAAAGTTCGTCTTCATTTTTACTCGTACAAACTTCACGTGTACCATAGAAATCTTCGGAATTACAACTATATGAGATGTAATGATAATGATGAGACCGATTTGTCACTATAACAGATGTAGAAGTACGGTATTTTGCTAGCTTCATTTGCTCAAGTACAATGACTACGATAAAACAGTTATTTAAAGTGGTACAGAAAAAGGCTAACTGAGTACGATAAAGAGTCTGTATATGAGTGAGATGATTGCAACATTCCGAATTGGATAGATATCTAGAATGCAACGAAAAAGGAAAGCACAGTCTAGCGGAGTGATCGTCCTCTATTGCAAATCAGCGGACAGTCCAGTTAAAACAATAAATAAACAAATTTGTGTAAACAAGCAAATGAACACGCTAGACATGTGAACAGGATAATGAACAACACGCTGGATACGTGAATGGACAAATGAACAACACGTTACACACGTGAACAAGCAAATTAAACATGTATCCTAGCACCAACATCAAAACGACCTTACTAAGTACTGTAATAACGGGATAAATCATCGTAACCTGAAAGTCTAATCGCATTATGTTCCTTGACCCTTTCTGAATCTGCTGTTTCCCACTTTTTCTCTTTCTCTCTCTCTCGCAATAACCAATTACTCATTGTTCTTTTTTCATCTTTCGTACCAAACTACCATTACATTTCATTGTTTATCAATCTTTTCTGCCTCTCAATTTGTGCTTTCTCTCAACATATCCTTTATTGTATTCATTCTTCTATTCCTTTTTCTTTTCTTTTTCGTATTCTTGGTATTTTGCTACATTTTTCAAAACACAAAGGATAAGGTTAACGCAAATTTCCGTGTATCTTTCACATAAACTGAATTGAACTTTGAACTTTCGTCAATTGCTCTTTTCATCCTTTCTAGTTGTTCATTTCCGAGAAGGTTGAATGTACTTTACAAACGAAATAGACGAACAAACGTACGTCATTTCGTAGTGATTGTAGCATTTCTTATATAGCATCTAGAATAGATATCCACCGTGTATCAACAGATAATAAGAAAAACATCATACGTGCATTAAGGAAGAAAAAAATATTGTACGTGTATCACGTAATAATCAAATTAAAGGTGTTGCACATGTATCACGTTGTAATATGAGTTGAAAATGTTTACCTGTATCACCTGTACCTTGATCACGTTATAGTAAAGGTCCTACATATATCAAATTATAATAAGAGATATTACGTCCAGATTCCCATCTTCTTAATGTGTATTATGAAGATCGAGTATCTGGTTGGATACGTTCCATATTATTTGAAAGATCATAATATCAATGCTTTGATATTGTATACCTTATTTCCTAATTAACTTAACCGTCTATCGATCGTTTAAATTCATATGTTTTTTTTTCCCCTTAGAATTTGTGGTATTGTTGGAAAGCTCAATTATTGGATTCGATTTTAAAAGTGCTCCGCCAGAATGAGTCAAAAGCGGTCCAAGCAAAAGAAGGAAAATCAAGGGGTTTGTGTTTAGGTCTTTTTCTTTTTTTTTCTATTTTTGATTGCTGAATTTTGGAATTTGTGCAGTGTCGTTCCTTTTTTCAAAATTTGCATTTTTCTTTGAAGTTTGAAAATTTGCCATTATATCAGTTTTATTCCCAAACATTCCAAATTTACGAAATTTCGAAATATCGGTGTCTTTTTTAATCTTTCTTTCTGGAATTTATGAAATCACTCGTATATTTGAAAATTTCAACATAGAAAATAGACGAAAAATTTTTTTTTATAACAACAATTGTTTGATATTCATAGAGCGAGAGATAAAATTGAAACCAAAAAAAAACTAGCAGATATTCGGTTATTTGCTTGTGATTTGATTGAATTTCCTTTTAGAGTAATGGTAGAGATCGTAACAGTAATGAACATAAAATTTATTTATTTACCACTTATTAAACAATGGTAAAATATTTTATTAAGTGTTTTTAAGTATTAGTATTACATTTATGAGAATGTAATATTGTCATCTAATTTTCTTGTTAATTAATGTTGGGACGAATATAGGCGGATAAAAAAAATAGAAATTAAATTAGTCAACAATAAATTATAAAAAATAACGGATATATGGAAAAAAATGGAAAATAAAATTGTAATAAAATGGAAAAACAAACCCCCTCTTTTCTACTTTTTACCAATTATATATATATATATATATATATATATATATATATATATATATATATATATATATATATATATA